ATGGTAGTAAACAAAGTTAAGCACATTATATATAATTTGTTGTTGTTAAAAGGTCGACGTACTTTAGCATTTGTATTGTTATTCGGTAGTTATACAGGCCAGTTCTACACTGGCATATCTAATTTAGACACCAGGAAGGATTAAAATGTAAAACTTGTATGACAATAAGAATTTACAAATTTCTCACCTTGTATTTATGAAGAGTATCACTAACTTCCTCAATTTTATGTTCAAATGACTGTTTTGCTTCTGTATGTTCTTTAACAGCTGTCTCAGTTTGTTTACGGAGCTCTTTTGTCTCTTTTTCTAATGCAAGTTTTTCTAGCTGCTTTGCTTTCACTTCATTTTCCAAAGCTGCTACTGCATCTTCTTTCTCAGTCAAGTCACCTTTAAGCTTAGATAACTGGATAACAAAAGGGGTATAACAATGTTATGATTAACACACCATGTAATATATTCTGCTCCCAATATTACAAAAATGAAAAGATGCAAAGACACATTATACATCTGACACCAAACACAATAGAATTCATCCACCTGTAAAACAACATACAGAAGTATGTACTCGTACAGCATAGGATCGCATCAACCTCTGCTATGTGTAAGTCAATACGATCATCATACTGCCTTTGTGCATACTTTACAGTATTCTTTTAATAACCTTTATTAGACCTCTCAGTCTGAAAAGGCCATTTATTTTTTCCCCAAAACTTAATAATTAAAAGAAGTGTCAAATTATAAAGAGTATTATTCTTAGGTATGAAACACATCATTTCTATAAAAGGTGTTACATTAAGAGTCAATCTCATGTATCATTTTTCAAGCCAAACCTGAAATTAGAAGCACATCTTTGTTAGAGCACAGAAAAACCAAAATTGCAAGGCGACCCAATCCTTGTCATTGGTATTTACGGTTTGTTTAGTTGATATTTTGTGGATCGATGTAATCTCCATAAATATTGTGGTATACCATTACTGCTGTTTTATTCATAGTCGTCTATGCAGTTTGGGTCTATGTACTCACTAATGAAAAATGACTTGATCAGAACTTAACGATCTCATTTGTTTATAGGGTCCATTATAAACCCTACATGGGCCTTCAAGATCAAATATGGACCACCTGTAATACATATAGACAACAATTTTACCTTCATATCAATCAGAGAATATTAAATTTGTAATTAATAAATATTCATGCATCTTGTACAATTAAGAACGTGTCAAATATGAAGTATAAATTTTTTAATTTCCCTTGAACAGAATTACTTGCACAAAATACGACCAGTAGGTGCATTACTAGACAAAGATGGGATAGAATTTTCATATGAGAATGAGATGCCCATATTGTGGAAGCCACTGAAATTATAGGTGCTGTATTTGCTATATCAATTGTGAATGCAATTACATAAATGATAAAAGGTGTGTCTACATCTAAAATAATGATCCAGTCAGGTTTTATGTACGCTTCTGTTAGAGATGAAGTTTTAACAGAGCAAATATTTTATTTGCAATGTACAACTTACTTCTTCAGCCATTTCTTCTTGTTTCAGTAGTTCAGTTTGAAGTTTATCAACCGTGTCAGACAGTTTGTCCAATTCTTTGGCTTTTGATTTCAATTGTGACTTGAAGCTCTTCAATTCCTGGTTCAACTCCTTGTTTTGCTTATTTTTATTGGTGATCTGCTCCTGAAGATTCTTATTTTTGTTTTCTAAAGTTGTAGTCTGTCTAGTTAATGTTGATATTTCATGATCAAGATCTTTGATCTGTCAAAACAAAACATTGCAACAGTTTGAACTCAGAAAGGTGAGATATGACAGAAAAGACTGTCCTCAAAAAGAAATATTAACTTCTATTTTATACTACAATTGGATGATTTATGAGAGAATATCACAGATTCTCTGGTTTGAATGGTCCACTTGATCCCTTGAATTGAAAGGGGAGCATTGAGTTCTGATATAAGGCAATGATAGCTTATTTTGATATTTTATATAATGAGAACAAATCAAGTTTCAAAATACTATTAAATCGCAAAAGTTCCCAGTAGCCAAAACAGGTAACACTAGTTTAAGAGTAGTTTTTTAAACACCAGCAAACAATTTCATTGTACATATACATTTACATCTGTTAATGCATTCCCATAATGTTCAATGTGTAATAATGAGCAGTATTCATGGCGCAGATAAATAACATCTCAGGTGGTTCACGTATTTCTGTACATAAAACAACAATATGGTTACCAGGTACTCTAAATCAACTCCCTGACCCAATACAGTAACATCATTTAAACTTCACTGTTTTCAATTTTCGATTTGACAGCAATTGTATGGACATACAAACAAATTTGGCTTAAAGACCTTATCTCAAAATTCATGTCTCACAAATTTAAAGCGTTTTTCAGTACTTTTAATGATGCTGTATTTAGAGTAATTTGAAACTGTTATGAACAGGTTTGAAATTGTTATGGACATGGTTGAATGTGTTCAAAAGTGCTATTGCTATGCACATGCTCAAAAGTATTACTGACGTGTTTGAATGTGTTTACAATGTTTGAAAATGTTTGATAGTGTTATGGATGTGTTATGGACATGTTTGAAAGTCTTATGGACATCTTCCTTATTTGGAAAAATGTGCATCAAATTTTAGTCACATTCAAACACTTTTCATTACTTTTCATTTACATTTCAGAAGCAGCAACAATGTAGCATGTGACGGAAAATAGAATCATGTCAATGAATGAACACAATCATGCAGTGTCCTAACCTTCTAAAATAATATTTTTTTTTTTTTAAATTTTGAGCGGTTATATCCCACTAAATTATGACTATAAGTAGGAAGATGCTTTTCCCATGTAAATAAGAGTACCGGTACTTACTGTTTTCTGTTCTTGCACTAGTTTTGTTTTAGCTTCTACATCTTTATTGGTTAGGTTTGTTCGAAGATCAGCAAGTTCATCTTTCAGGTTTTTCTTTTCTTTGTCATCAGATTTAAGAGTTTGTTCTAAATCTTCAATTGTACTATGACTTTCCTGTGAGAGTAAGATATTAAGTATATTGAGTATATTTATTCTATTAAGTATATTTAAGTGGGAAAATAAAAAGAAAAAACATATTTATTTATGCTTAAATAGTATAATTATTATTAAATGGTATGTAAAATATGCTTTACTGCATTGAAAACAAATTAAACTCTAGCAAAACATATTCTTACTTTAACGTCTTTCTTGAGTTGATCAATCTCTTCAGCAGATTCTTCAAGTTTATTTTCCAGTATTATTTTCTCTTCTGTCACTTTTTGCAGATCTTGCACAACACTATTGTGCTCAGAGCTGGAAATATAGTGGATCATTTTGAATATATAGTTTTTTACATAACATCAAAATAATTTTCAGTACATTTCCCCATGATGTTTAAAGCACTGCAGTACACTCCCTAATACAGCATGTATAAACCATAAATGCTTATACTGTTTGAGAGTTATCGGTAATGATAGTAAATATGGTGACTACAGAAATAATCCTGACAGCATGCAACATTATAAAGATGTTTTCTTGGTAATAAAGTGTAAAATACCACATCAGTATAGTGGCTTTTATATTCTGCAACTTTTATTCAGTCATATGAAAACAATGGACATGCAGGCATTTTCAATGCCTGGCAATCATCATTGGTGAAAACAAAGGTCGAAAACTCTCAGAAAACTGTACTTCTGGCTATACGTATATGTGTATTACGTATATTTGGTCAAAGTTGAGTTTGAGCTGTTTTCTAGATTTGAGCTGTTTTTACCTGCCCTTTGACCGACATTCCACAACAGCTTACACCGAGCCCATAGAAATACATGGTACAGTAGTATGTGTCTGAGCAACATAGAATGCCCCTGAGAATAGAAGCCCATCATCTTAAGATTAACAATGAAAAGACAACATTGAAATTACCTTGTTGAATCAAGTTGCTGTCTAACTTTATCCAGCTTGTCATAAGAATTCTTTTCACGTTCAAGAGCTTCTTTTAGCTCATCTCTCAGTCCGCTGATTTCTCCCTAGATATGAACAAATCAGAAACAAATATTTCAAAATGATTTGATGGTAGAATACAAAGAAAGAATATTCACTGGATTTAGTTTAGCAGAATTGAAGTTGCAGACATATTCATTATGTTTTATATTCATATATTTGTTAAAAGCCCAACAATACATTCTATAAATAATTTTCAATATTCTTTGGGTTTTAATTCTGCACATTTAGCTATCAATGAAAATAAAAGCAAGCTAATAATTAGGCCCTACTATATTACAATATCAGTAATATGTATTAAAGATCTCTAAGTCAGAGACTGATGTTTCCAACAACTGTCAATAACAAACTATTGTTAACATTATTATAATCAATGACCATAATACAAAATACACAGACAAAAATTACAACCAAAATTAGCAAATTTGCCAAACTATGTTAAGTTGAACAACATTTTAATTCTTTAAATACTTTAATAGTTTTCAAAATTTTGTGTAAAATAGTGTACAAGAAAAATAATTTAGGTACACACATTTATTAACAAAAAACATGTTCAACTGTTAATAATTCCATGTAAAAGCAAT